TTGAGTAGACTTAGATATGCTCATTTGGGACACAGGTACATACTACTATCTGATACAAGCATTTGCTATAGGGAATTCATTCCTACATAATATTTTATGAGAGAATTCCTTATTTGACACTGGAAAAATGAGTCGTTCCTTTCTTGGCCTTGAAATTTTCTTCGTTCCCTATTTGACACTCACTCCAACTTTCATCCATAATTTGACACTACCGTCAAATCCGTTAGCTAACGGTGTTAACTGGCTGTTAAAAAGACGTTTTTGCCCCTAGAAAAAAAAAGCGGCGAAGCAAATTTGAGAGGAAAAAAAACCTGCGCCCGCCTCTGATGCATGCGCCCAGCTGAAAAAAAGGCGTAGGTTTTTTTTTCTCTCAAATTTGCTTCGCCGCTTTTTTTTTCTAGGGCCAAAAACGTCTTTTTAACAGCCAGTTAACACCGTTAGCTAACGGATTTGACGGTAGTGTCAAATTAGGGATGAAAGTTGAAGTGAGTGTCAAATAGGGAACGAAGAAAATTTCAGGGCCAAGAAAGGAACGACTCATTTTCCCAGTGTCAAATAAAGAATTCTTTCATATTTCATACTTTACACCCTTTGCAGATTTCGGTGCTCCCTCCATGTTTAGACTGCTGCTTTGTCCCTAGTGCCTGCTACAAGTTGTGAAAATGCTTTTTTTTGCTGTTTTATCCCAGATCGCTTTACTTTTTTCGCTTTTGCTTCTCCTAAATATTTAGTCCGTCAGCAAGTTCAGTCCACATAGAAAAATATATGTTATGAGCAAATTTTAGTTAGCCAAGCAAATATTGCAGATTGCTAAACATAATATATGCGTTTATATTACAAATTGCTCTAACATAATAGCTTCATGTGACTGCTCTACCTGTAGCACATTTGGAATACATTGATATATCTGAACATTATGATTTCCTAACCTCAGTGTCCAAATAAGAACGATGTATTTGATTATCTTTCTTGCTGTCCATGTATTTTTACTATATTTGCTTAGTCAGTGATTTCTTCTTTCTTCACATTTTGTACTGTAGTCCTTAGAAACATATTGATTGGAAGGCCACATTTTACAGCTCGTGTTACTTCCTAGTGCTGCTATTTATTGAGTTCTTAAATCTTTTTTTTGCTCTGCAGTACACTTTGGAGTGCCATTACAAAGAACCCTAGCTTTGCGAGACCTATCCACACGCCACAAAGTTTAGTGCCAATTTGTAGATTCATATTTTTACATTTCTTTGTACAATTTGATTGGGAAATTAGATTTCACAAATACTTTATTACTTATTGATGGTACTATTTATTGACTTCTTAAATTCTTCTTTGCTCTCTGACAAACTTTGTGCTTCCATCACAATGAGTAAAGCTTTTCCATGTATTTCCATACGTCATGAGTTGGTGCCTATTTTTGGATTCATGCTTTGTTTGCATTGGATATGTATTGATTGGAAAATCGGATCTTCTGTCACTTTTATTTCCCGATGATGTATATTAACACTGTACACTTGATTATGCGAAGATCGAATGTTCATGCAGTTACAACCTCTCTATTTCTTTCTATTCATAGACACATCTATATCTGGCCTTGATCAATTTTAGTTCTCTTCTTTAGTAACCTTTGAGTAATGTTAGATGAGAATATGCGGTCATGATTATCACTCTTTTATGATCTTTTTTTCTCATTTCAAGTGAGGCATTGCCATATATCAAACCATTCTAGCTACCTACCAGAATACCCAGGGAACTAATTCTATCAGAGATCCAAACAATGCTACTGAGGGTATCTGTAAATACTTTTTTTCTTTTCCAAACTGCATGGTCGATGTTTATTTTCTAGACTTCATTATTTGCATGTATCTGTTGGTGGTCTTGACCTAAGTGTGACAGATGAACTTCTGAAGTAAACCTTCATGTCCATACGGACGACTTCTCTATGTCAAAATACCTGTACGAAAGTGTTGTTGATCTGTCCAATATTTGAAGAGGTATGAAGAGTATCCTCTTCTATGTATTATGCATATCAATTTATAGACCAGTCGATGCTTAGTAGTAATGCCATCTTCAGTATTCGTTCCATGTTGAAACCTTTTTTGTGTCAATATTTTACTGCCAAAATTAGCACCCAACTGGTTATAGTAATTCCACATTAACTGAGGAGTGTATTGTGTAAATTTAAACCATCTGACAAGTCATTCGAAATTTATAGTGAATGCTTCTATAATTTTCTGAACCACATACTACTATATGGATTTTATCTTCTTAAAAAAACTATTTCTTTAGGGCATCACCTAAGGAGGCCAAAAAGGTGCTAAATGGAAGGCACCTGCGAGGCCAAAGCATGAGGCTCTCATGGGGTGGTAACCAGAGGCGGAGCCAGGATTCAAACATAGGGGGGCCATGGTGTCCGTGAAGATTTATGATCCAAATAACATGGGAGCCGAGGTGTCTACGAAGATTTTTTTAAGGCTCAGCCAACAATCTTTAATTATTTGCCCTATGTTCCAAATTATAGGATGTTTTGGCTTCAACGTCGTCGGAATTAGGCGAGCTGGATGGGTTCACGGAGGAGGAGGTGTATGAGGCGGCTATGTCGAGTCGGAAGAGCACGGCGAGGCTGATCACGATGACGTTGGCATCGGCGGCTTGGGTGGGCATGCGCCGGCGCGGTGACAAGTCTGAGAGGAGGACGCGGGTATCGGGTCAAAGACCGTTTGGATGGGTAAAAGAGACCCAAATCAAGTTTAGGGACCCGTATGACCGTTTTGTAAGTTTAGGGACCGGGATGACACACTCATACAAGTTTAAGGACCGCCGGTGCACTTAACTCTAATATGAAATAGAAGGAGTAGCTGATGAAAATCAGAATGTAGCCACGTTGAATAGAAACCATACGAGTGAAAAAAATATGACATCAATTAAGTAACAAAGAAAAATGAGATATGTATCCAATCCAGAAAGTACATTTATCTAATGTAGAAAAATTCTAAGGTATAGAATTATACATGCAACTGGATATCCATTACCATTAGTGATCCATAGCCTTTGTGCTACATCCCACTGCATAGCTACAGAGCGGCTGACAGTGCGCGAGACTGCGCAGAGTTGCATGTCGGAAGGCATGCATATGCACAGGGGAGCTAAAGGAAAGCAGCACACTAATGGATATATTGCAGACCAAACTACATGTGCTAATTATGGATTACCATCATTAGTCGTATGTCCGATGCACCCACGCAGGCTACACCGAAGTTTGGAGAGGCAAACTGCATGTACTAATTACCACCATTAGTTGCTAAACATGAGGTTATGTTGTAGATCAAACAGAATGTTGGGGGTGCCTGGCCCCTTCCAGGCCCCCTCCCTCCGCCACTGGTGGTAACCCTGCAAACAAGCAGGAATTTTTTTATGGGTCTGGTCTGGCGTTGATGAGCCTACTCTTGAGCAAAAATTTCAAAGAACACAACTCTATTTAAACACAAAAAACTAATTTTCACCTCTTTAGCTTGTACTAGATTTAGAGTTGTTATTAGTTCCTCACATTTCATATCTGCGGACATGTTTTTTCCTCATAAAGACGAAAGTGTTCTTGGTATCATGATACTATTAGTTCCCTCTTATTTCATATCTGCGGACATGTTTTTTTCCCCATAAAGACATAAAGTGTTCTTGGTACCAAGATACTTTTATATTCACAGTTGGCCCAGAGATATCTGATTCATCCCGTTTTACCAAATCTATAACATGCCAATTCTGCAGGAACACAAGTGATGCACTGATCCTCCTCATAAAAAAACTGAAGATCCACAGCCACCATTCAGACAGACAAGGAGGACAAAGACACACAGAAATATCATTCTTAGCATCCCTCAGGGCTCCTTCCATCAGTTGTGTACGAATCATTCAGTAGTCGTATTATGGCACTGGTCTTTTACAAGAAGCACATGAGATTAAAGCCTCTTCTATGGCCCATCTTGAAACCTATGTTTTTACGCTTTGTACAAATTGCAGATCCAGAGCTGAAGAAATCAAAACACATGGCTAAGGCACTGGATGTACCGCCTCTTCCAGCCAACAGAGAATGAAAAAGGTGCTTGCAAACACCGTTCTTCGTTTTCTATGCAGACTCATCCTATTTAGCACAATCGCGTCAAATCTGAAATTCCTTTATCTGTGTTACAGGCTTACACATCCCCATGATACATCTGCTTCTGCGTATATGCCATAGGCATTTCAAGTAAAATCTATTTGTGTGAGAAACTTCGATGACCAGACTACATATATAGCTTAGGACACTAATATATAAGACTGCCTTTTGCATATGTAGCATGGGCACTTCTCAGATTCCTGGTTAGTCTGTTTGTGCAGGCTACAACCAGCTTACGTAACACTATGACACCTGTGACTGCCATCCACTATTAAAACCAGCTTATGTAAGATTGTCGGACTCTAATCTATGGCTGACATCTCCAACTAATAAGGATAAGCAATGTAAAGTCCTAAAATATCCTTACTTATGTATGGATTGCTACTAATCATGCTGGCTGCTCAATGTACAAAACCACTCTATGCTACTCTATATTATGGAATATGTAAAGTACAATCCCATGTCATGACATAAGAACATTACTAAACCCATGTGACCACTTTATGTAATATATATACCCATCCTTTTTGTAGTATAATATCAAATATATGCCTATATGTAAAAAAAGTAATATTTCAACTTATCTATACTACTAATTTAGGATCTGATCTTGAAAAAAATATATAGACACGTTTAGATTGTATTTCCAACTAAATGTCAACGCGTGTGATGACGCGCGTGATGGATGGTATAGAGAATTCGTAAAGTTCTTCAAGGTATTAGCAATTTTCCGAAATCGAAATCTAAAACCCTCCCATTTTTTCGTGCGTTTGAGCCGCAAAAGCCCCACCGTCTGTGCCTGCTACCTGCTGCAAAGTAGGGTTCGCACCGGGCCACCGCCCGCCTCCACCCAATGGCGCGCGCCGCCGCCTCCAGGCTCGCCGCCGCGGCGAACTCTTCCTCTACGGTGAGCTCCCTCATCTCCCCTCCCTCACTTCTCCTCCACCCAATCCCGAATTCTACGGCTAACCCCTTCATCTCCGTTGCCAGCGCGAGTTGTTCGCCCGCCACCTCGTCGGCTCTGCCGCCTCGGCCTGGACCGCACCGCCGCGGCTGCCTGAACCAGGTTAGTCGCCTTCTCTTGAAAATTTTTATGCTTTTTGAATGGATTGATCGGGGAGGCCTGTGTTGCTTATCGGTGAATTGGACAGGGAGGGAGCGGCGGAGCCCGAGCTGGTGGTGTCCGAGCAGGTCGTTCCATGGTTAGTACTTCGGTCAAATTGATGACCCTAGTGTAATTCCACGTTTCCATTTAGCCATACACAGTGGTTCATCTTGTGAAATTAGTTGTGGTTTGGTTTATTGCTACAGCAGGCCTCATAGTTGTTGAAATTTGATGTTGTACTGTAGTGACAATTGAAACCAAGACCTCAATACCTCATGTTCTGGTTAAGATTAGTTCTATCTTTCTGCTTTCTATCCGGGGAGCCAGCATTTTTACCTTTTGTGTACAACGCCATAATAATCATGTATTTAAATCATCCGATTCATTTAAGAGCTGTCATCCCAGGTGACTTTGGCCTTCTGATCCTGACTTGCATTTGAGTTCTAAGAAAATAGTTGCACGTTCAGCAGAGCTTTTGTGAATACCAAGGGACACTTTTTTCTATGTTTTTCTGTTTTAACACCAAGGTTTACAAGTCGTCTAGTCAAACCTAGTCGCCATGGGACCTACTAGGACGAGGTACCCCTAATCGGTCACCAGGGACCGATTAGGACGATGTCGTGATTAATCGGGCGACTTGTAATCATTGTTTAACACTATGAATGAAAAAACAAAATGAGAAAGTAATTTTTCTTAGAACAATAACAGCCCCTTTCTGTCTGAAAAGAGACAACTGCTATTTTTCATGCGTAATTTTGATTGTAGCTTCGAAGAATGCTTGGCTAATACTTACCTGAGATGGTTATGCAGTTATTTAAGATTGTCCCAAAACCACAAATTTAAATGGTTTAATGCATCTACAACAACAACAGAAAACCTTTTATTCCCAAGCAAGTTGTGGTAGGGTACAGATAAAATGCAACATGGGGTACTTTTTTTTGAGCGTAAAAATACAGCAGGGAAACCCCCACTGTGAGATTTTATAAATATAAAAGGGTAAGAACTGTACAGGAAACAAGCACAACAAAACCACCCAAGAGGCTGAGAGAGCCACTTGGCAACCAGAAAACTAAGAAAAGGCATCTATACAAAGGAGGAAAGAGGAGCGTTTGTCCTCAGACATGGGGTACTCATTATAAAAAAATGAGGTACCAAGATAACTCAACAAATAAATAAATAACAGGATTGACTTCGGCAGTTACTGAAGCTATTTTTCTTTGCTCTTTCTTTTTTTGGCAAAAAGACACCCTAGAGTATCTTATACCTGAATTATATTAAGGAAAACAATAACCAATACAGGAGAGACCATGCCAGAAAAGAAAATTAAATCAAATTTGACGAAGTCTTCACCTCCACCGCAACCATGGCAGCACTGTGTTGTCCCCCATCACTGTCGATGATATCGCGGGTGCAAACGAAGAAAAATAGATAGCAAAGTGCTCTAAGTTGGCACTTAGGTTTGCTTCTTACTGCCGTTTTTTAAGTTTCAGACATGCTTCCTATAACTGTGTGCCTGTAATTAAAACTTCTATGTTCCTGTGATGCTAGCCACAAGGCGGGTGTATGCAAGGGATTTCTATGATGTGCTTGGAGTAAGCAAGGATGCTTCTGCACCGGATATAAAGAAGGCATATTATGCGGTACAGATTTTTTACATATCGTTGTTAGGATGTGCACCTCCTTTCAGAAACAAAGTTAGGATATTGCTTATTGATTGTACATCGTTAAACTTCTTGGTGATCATATTTGGATATTCCTTATTCCCCCAATGTTACTCTATCGATCTCAACCTTGCTGCCTTGAGGGCCTAAGTTCCCATCGTCTCCAGCTGATAGTTGCCCTTAGTTCGCTGTTGTTGTGGACTCCTATGGCTGCACCTACTGATGTCTCAGGCGACATGATCAGAAGGTTTAATTGAGTTAGTTTGAGAAGGTTTACTAGAGATAAGTTAGTTGGCTTGATTGAATTATCAAGCAGCTGACCAATATATATGAGGGTCGGCTCATCTGCGAGATCAAGCACTAGATTAATCTATTCCGCCTTAAACTCTGTCAGAGCCTCCTCCACCTCTTGCCTAATTTTCTCTCTTAATCGAAGTTCATATCTTCTGTTGCTATCGTCTCTCTCCAGACCCAAGGCACTTTACTTATTTCACTTCTCTTCCTCCCCTATTGCTTCTCTACCTCCTGTAATCTCTTCAAGTTCTCTTATGCTCGTGTTTGCTTCATTTGCTGTGCTGCTTTTTTGCTACTTCTTCTTATCTTTTCTTCTCTATTCTGCCCTTCTTACGCTCTTTGGTTTGCCTCTGACAGTATCTATTGTACTCTTCCCTCTATAGTCTGCTACTTAGTCTAATACTGATTAACTATGTATCATCGACGTGGGATACCGTTATGGCGATACAGGATTTTGAAAAACAACACTATGGTAATGTAGAGAAAGTATTGGATATAAGTAATGCGGTTGTGTTAGTGAAGTATTGGTGATGCACGAATGATTAACCTCTCTATTGAGCAACTGTCACAAGACCTATCTGACTACCTGTTCCATTAGGTGCTATTTTTTGCTTGTCTTATTTTGCCTGGGTAATACCTACAAGGCTACAACTAGTTGGTTAGGGACTTATGCACCAGAATCAGTTCCCCTGCATCTGACTGCATGGTGCACTTGTCCCTTACTCACCATGCTAATCATGTTTTGAATTTCAAAACTCATTTATAGGAAACATAAACTAAAACTCTGTTGAACTTGTCAAGAACTTAAGATGATCCGCTTCCCCTGTATGGATAATCAGAAACAGAGTTTCAATGCAAAAGATGACATCTGAATGATAAGATGGACAGATAACTCAAGAATCTGGTAGAATAGGCTGAAGTCAGCCAACTGGGGTTCCACAAATAGGAATTTACTTCCATCCCAACCTAGATTGTGGATTGGGATCCATTTGGCACTGCTTCCATTTATGTATTTAACTATTTATTAACTGTCTCTTGCATGCCTACTGCACCATGCTCTCCATATTGTATTTTCTTCCATTTGTGCTCCCATCGATCTGTTTCTTCTACTTCTTCCTGTTATCTGGTAATTCATTTGGTTAACAAAATTTATCATTCTTCTCCAGCTTGCAAAGAAGTTCCATCCTGATACTAATAAAGATGATGCTGATGCAGAAAAAAAATTTCAAGAAGTTAACCGTGCCTACGAGGTGTGAGGTTCTTGCAGAAAATGTAGTTACCTTTCATGAACCATAGTACATGTTTTTTCCCTAAATGTTGATATTATCTGTACATTTGTCAGGTTTTGAAGGACGATGATAAGCGTGAAATATATGATCAGGTTATTGCCATTTCTCTTTTTAATGAAACAAAAATTGTGATGTTATTGGAATATTCACGTAGAGACAGATTATTTATATTATTATTAATACTGAACCCAGCTGGCCAGCTTGTGCTTTTTTGTGTTAACCCAGCTTGCTTAGCTTGTGGTAGCATTAATTTCCATGACTCATGAAACCTTATTTTACTATTACAGTAAAATATTTTATTCTTAGATATAACATGCTTATGTAATTGGCAGCTTGGACCAGAAGCATACGAGCGTCAAGCATCAGGTGGTGACCCTGGAGGGCCGGGTTTTCCTCAGGGTAACCCATTTGGCGACATCTTTGGCGATGTAAAAACCATTGTCCTTGTGGTTTTATTTTATGTGTCATACATATGCCGTAAATAGATCTGTACTCTCTTTTATACACCCCCATTTGGTGAGTTATGCATGAGATCTATGATTCAAAATTTAAATATGTGATATTTCTCCTCAGTTATTTTGTATGCTGCCTTTGTAAAAAAATATGCATGCGAAAACAATAAATTGTTGGCAGGTGGCCATGAAAAATCATTCTACAAGGTTGTAAAATTTCATCTAGTTATATTATTTTTTGTTCATTGTTAGGACTTTGTCTATGTTGTAACATATGATGATCTACAATGTTTTTTATGTTGAAATAAACATCATATTGGCCTTTCATGTCAGGTGGCAGTCTAAACATGATTTGAAATAGTACCTTTTCAGTATTTAGCAAATTTCTTTGAACCGTGACTTGGGGCTCTTGGTGGGTTTCAACTCTAGCCTACCCCAACTTGCTTGGGACTGAAAGGCTATGTTGTTGTTGTATTATTGTTATACATACATACATACCTGATATATATTTTTTTGTTATGTCAACAGATCTTTGATAATGCGTACAGAGGTGGCCAAGATGTCAAGGTTAGATGATTTTTACTACAGCTGTTTCCTTTTAATCGAGCATATTAATTCAATTCTTGCTTGCTTTATTCCCCCCAACTGTAGGTTTCTGTGGAACTATCATTCATGGAAGCTGTCCAAGGTTGCAGAAAAACCATTACATACGAAGCTGATACTTTTTGTGGAACTTGCAGTATGTGACGTTACTTGTATATTTAATTATTTATTCTGTTGACAATCTTACCCATTTGTGCTTCGTTGTATGTCATGAGCTTCTAATTTATTTGTTGCAGATGGAAGTGGTGTTCCCCCTGGAACTGTGCCTAAAACATGTAAAACATGTCGAGGCTCTGGTGTGGTATGTATCCTTCGGCAACATATTTTTCCATGGCATGTTTCTTACAGATAACAAACTCCACTAATTAGTAGACAACATTTTAGCAAGTTGATTTCTTTTGCAAATATCTGTTGTTTTGGTTATTCAAAGCAATATTTTCACCAAACGCCCTAGAACAGAAAGCATTAATTGTTTCCTTGTTCTGTCTTGTTCTTGGAGCTCCAAAGACAACTACATTGGATAAGAGGGACTACACTGACCTTCAAAATCTTGTCATGAATGCAGATATACATGCAGAAGGGTATATTTACTGTTGAATGTACTTGCTCCCTGTGCAGTGGGAGCGGAAAAATTGTCAAGGTGCACCTTTTCTGTTTCAATAGCATATTCCTTTTTTTTTTCTGATGTACACTGGCTATGGTCGTTGCATTGAGTGCTCTTAGTTCCTTAAGGGGGTGGGGGATCTGGCAACATTTTATAGAATATATCTATATGGTTTATCACTGGTGATGATTTTTCATTTTTGTTGGCCTAAGTTCTTTGCTTTTCAAAATTGGTTTGTAGAATTTTTGCAAGACTTGCAAAGGAGAACAGGTAGTGAAGGGGAAAATGTCAGTCAAGCTAGACATAGCGGCAGGTAAGGAGATTTTCTTTACTGATATATGTATATACTTGATACGAATTCACTCCATCCAAATTATAGGTCATTTTGGCTCTGTAGGTATATAGCTTTTGCTATGCACCTAGATATGTATACACTATGTTCCAAACCGACCTATAATTTAATTTGGAACGGAGGTAATACATCTTATCACACAATTCTGAATTTTCTGTTCAATATGCAAAACAGTGTGTACTTCTTTCTTTCTACTGGTGATTTGAATGCTGTGAATTCTCCTGTGTAGTTTGAGAAATTTTTTTGAATGCTGTGAAGTGTAAACTTGTGGTATTATAAGCATTTCCAACTGGTGTACTTGTTATAACTCAGACATCACTTTCCATGCACTGCTAAGTTAAGAAAGTTAATATTCAAGTCAAATCATCTAGCTGCACTATTATGAAATATATGGTTCTACTGAACCATTCTGCATTTCTGCCTGTTCCGTTAACATTTGGCTCTTTCCTACAATCATGCAAGCTCAAGTGTTTATTGCGGACAGGACTTTGGGTACATTATAACTGAAGCAATTTTTTTTTCAGGAATTGACGATAATGACACCATGAAGGTTTTTGGTAAGGGTGGTGCAGATGTTGAACGCAATAAGCCTGGTGACCTTTATGTTACTATCAAGGTTTAATTTCTTTTTTGCTGTGAATGCCACTCGTGCCCTCAGTTTAGTCAGTACTATGCAAGGTCTCATGGAAGTATGAATTCATTTTCATTTCCTATTACAGGTCAGAGAGGACCCTATCTTTCGAAGAGAAGGCAACCATGTGCATGTTGATTCTGTTTTAAGCATTGCTCAGGTCAGTCTCTCTTATATTTTTTTTTTCTTTCGGTTCGTGTTCTGATCAATGTACATGTCCATGCCATGCCATTTTCATCTTTGTTTCCAATAAAATGCAAACATACATTTTCATCTTATTGGCAGCACATATTTTCTCAATCCTGCTTTCTTTTGTATGATCACATAGTTTGTGATGGAAGTATCCTGATTTGAGTTAAGATTTTTTTTTTGAAAAATTGGCAGGAGCTTTTGTGACAGAACCGCCCAATTTATACAAGATCAAGTACGGTTATCCCCGTTTAATACGTTGATGCGCGCATACTTTCACTTATATAAACCCGGTAGTCCGCCGAGTGTCACGAAGGACCTCGGTAAATCAACATCACGACCAAGATCGCATGATTAAGCAAATACACATCACATACACAGAGTTGCAGCGGAAATAATATTACAAATGGGTTCACAAATAATAGTACAAGTTTGAGTTTTAAAACCGGTTAAGGGAAACAACATAGTTTTCAAATGATTACATTAATATAAGTTTCAAATACATTGTTAGCATAAGTGACATTCTCTGACAAAAGCATATAGATGAGAAATAAATATAGAGTCACCGAGCCCACCGGTAGATAGCCACCATCTTCCTTAGGCCGAGAATTTCACCTGCAACATGGTGGGATAAACCCTGAGTACTTGAATGTACTCAGCTAGACTTACCCGTTATAAACCAAAAATAAAGTGATACCAAGGATAATGCAAGGCTTTATAAGTGGAGCTAACTTGACAACATTTTACATAAAAAACCACTAATTCAACTATACATTTTATAATTCGGTCATGAAGTTAATTATAACTATTCATCTCTAGATTAGCAACTAACCTGTGCCAAACATGTGGTATATCATTTAGTAGCATGCAATAGTAACTATAGCCGGTGTAATAATTCCATGTTCATCATAACCATCATATTCCATAATTCAATTACTACGATGCTGGAGCTAGTCGAGTTTCTCACCATCCGGGAGAGACGGCGATTCGAATCAATTTCAACCAGCTGGGAATTTATTCCTAACACAAACCCAGACATAGCGCCAATATAGTTTTAGTCACCTTTAATACAACTCAGGTCCACATTTCGCGGGTTCGATCAGTGCCGCACAATTAGGGACAACAGCTGCCAGGACTATCAGGACTACCCTGCCCTTGGGCTCACGTCTGTCTCCCCGCACATCCTTACTACCATCGAGAGTGCGCACTCTTACAGAACGGGGCCTGGCCTGAGTTGAGCTACTCGGCTTCGCGGTCGGAACGAGTTATCCGGCCAGCTAAGTGAGAGGCATGCGTTCAATCTCGCCAGAAGTGCTAGCAACGGTACGGTTCTTAATCGATACAGACGGGATCAACATATCCAACCCAACACCATTGCATATGAAATCCCGCCCGATCTCCACTTAGATTATATCCCATGGTTATTTTTCCACGATAGCAAATATAGCCAACTGTGCTCCGATATTCACCTATATCTCGCAGGTGACAGGAAATCACCCGACTTCTACCGGTCTAAGCATGGCTAAGCATATATTCGATCCTGGACCTACACATGGTTCAAGGTATATGTCTGGACAAGAAAATTATATGCATCAAGAGTTTTCAATCAACTCCTATAACTTAATGCATCAAACATAAAAGGATTTAAATTGATATTTGTAAAATATAGGAGGCTTAGAATGCTCCGGGGCTTGTCTGGGATCCGACACAAAGTCAGTTTAGTTAGCTTGCACCGTCTTGAGGAACATCTTCCACTCTAGGCATGCACTCCAGGGGTCCTTTCATCTTCGGGATAGGTCCACCAACACCGTCTTCTGGTTCGACTCCATCATCACATTCTTCACGTCCACGCGTTGTGCATCTAGCGTACCTAGATGAGATGCAACAATGCAAGTGCATGAATGCGAAGAATGGTAACATGAGATGCATCATATAAAAGCATTCAAAGACAAGTATAAGGTTACACCTCAAGACATGCACTTAGAGAGCAAGTCATTTAATTAATTATCACTCAAGTCTAACATAGGGATAGCAAGCATAACAAGCATGGCACACTAGTCAACTCAAGTCAAACTATTACAAGCATTTAACCATCAAGAACTAATTAAGCCTAGCATCACATAAGAACTA